GTACATAACAGGCAAGTACCTTATTTCAGCCTAGTCCTCAATAGTACGAAGTAAGTGCTACATGCAATTCTAGTAAATACCAGGCTGTATTATATTTTTGTATATTGTATTTATATACTTGGAGATTTCTACATTTTAAATGATTTTAATTATTTTACTATTATTTTTGCAGGAAATCCCATTGAGCTCACATATCTCTTTTGCAAGGGCACCCTGGGCCTGAAGTTAACCTAGTGTACATATTTTTGTGTTGTGGAGGAAAACGGTGTACTTCGAGAAAACCCACACAAGCATGAGGAGAACATGGAAACTCAACGCAGAAAGACCCCAGGTCCGAACTGGGGATCGAACCCAGGACCTTATTGCTGTGAGGCGTTGGTGCTAACCACTGATCCATTGTGCTGCTAAATGTGAATAAGTATGTGAACCACAAACAGCGAATTAGTTCTAAGCCTGGTTATTTTCTGTGACCTACAGCTGCAAAGAGAGAAAAAATATATATTTTTACTACACCATTTTGTGCATCCTATCTGTGTTCAACACTTCTGTATCACCACAATCATCATCACTGTGGACACTAAAGGTCTAGATTTCAGTTCTAAATGTAGTTTAGGTGAGCAAATGGAACCAAAAAGTGAGTAAAAAAAGTAAAGTTCAAAATAAATAAAAAAGCAGAGTGTAACTGGAGACAAAGAAGATGCTCGTCAAAATATTTTAACTCTAACGCCATACAATTGAACTCTCAATTTAAAACTTTCAATTGCTCAACAACTACGAAAATCAAGTGATCATGTAATATGCTTTTATCAGTTAGTCTGTGTTTTTGCATTATGTTTGCTTGTTGTTTAGCAAAATATCTCATTAACCAGTGTACAGATTTCCTTCATCCAAGATGGCAGCCACAACTCATTACTTTATTTACTTTAATGTTCAGACTATTTTCATATGTGGTCTTTCAAGTCCATGTTCTGAGAACTACAGTAAGAACATAAAACATTTGATATTGTTCTTGAACAATTATCCACTCTTTCTGAAAATACTTTCTCCTGGTGAAAAATAAAAATGTTAAAATTAAAATATCTGGTATTTAGAATGAAAAACTCCATGTGAAGTCATTTTTAACACTTCCACATAGTTATCCCACTGTGGTACTACAAACATAAATATCATCCTTTGTGCTGCCAGAGCCACAGCTGTAGCAGAGATTTTAAATCAGCATTCTTTTAAGTAAATGCTCTCATTTTAAACCCATAACAGACAGACAGCTGGCCAGGATAGTAAACTGATAAAAACTCATTTTGATTATTGTAAAAAAAAAATGGAGAGATAATTATTCAATTCTCTAATAACCCTGTCTGCACCCTTTGTTGACTGGATATTTGCCTAAACAGAATAATTGTTAGTAAGATGCTTATTACATTAAATTAGCTGCAGGCTTGTAATTTTGATGATAATTGTGTTTCAGTGTCATTGAAATTCTACTTTTTCATTTGTCTTTGTCACTCTGTGTCAAGAAATATGAGTGCAAAAACAAGGATATTTCCTCCTTCATTCAGATATTAGTTTTTGATTTGTTAACAAATACGACATTCAATTTGGATGAAAAAAGAAATTATTCTAAGCCATTGGAATTTTATTCAGCTGTAAACAAGATGTGAAGTAGAAAACTAACATGTAAACTTTAATAATTTGTATGCTAGTAGTCAAAATGGAAAACATTAATAAATTTACCATTGTTGTTTTGTTTATTTTTACAGGCTTAAAGCAGGCATGAAAAAAAAAAATCTTACCACTTTCTGTTTGGAATTGGGTTTCTGCAGCAGCCACTCAATGTCAAGAGAGCTGGACGACGGGAACTGGTGGTGGCATGGTAAGGTAGCGTTGTCCCCAACAACCTTTTTCATCTCCGTCTGAGCAGCCACTGACAGCAGGCTGAGTAGAACTGAGGGAGAGGAGAGATGAGGTGATGAAAACGCAGGTAGAGACGTGTCACAGCTGGGGGCACTGACTTAACACAAGAATGAAACAAACTCAATGAAAGTAGCAAGCAAATGCACAAGGATGGGACATTTGGGCAATGGAAAATGCACGGAGAAATCTGACTAAGAAACTGAATTTAACAGATTTATTGATCCTGTTAGTCATGCTATGTTAAGAAAAAAAGAAAGAAGAWATTAACATACTTTTACAAAGTCTGCATTTTAAGGTAACACATTCATWATAATGAACACTTTTATGTAATTGTAATTTTATGACCAGCACCTGCACACACCCACACCCAC